GACCCCTTAGGCAGTACGGCCAAGAACTTCTGTTCTAGAATCTTCCTGTCCTTACGTTGTCCCTCCTTATACTCATTCCCTTGGCGATTTTAGGTAGGCTCATAGTTTTAAATATCATCTATATGCTGACATCTCCCCAATTTTTATCCAGGCCATGTCCCCCTAAACTCCAAACTTATATAGCAAACTGCCTTCTCCAGATCTCCACTCAGCATCTCAGACGTAACACGTGAAAAGCTAAACTTCTGAATTTGCACCCTCAGACTTACTCCAAACACACTCCTCCTCATTTCAGCTAAAGGAAACTTCATTCTCAGGATCCTGGTCCGAAAGCCCTTGGAGTCATACTCGGCTCTGCTTTTTCCCCCTCATCCATATTCAATGTTTCAGAGACACAGGTGGCTTCACCTCCAAGATCCATCTAGAATCTGAGCACTTCCCACCACCTCTGCAGTCACCATCATGTTCTGAGACACAGTCACCTTTTACTGGGATTGTTGTAATCCTGACTGGTCTCCCTGACTCCATCCTGGCCCCACCAGTGTCTCATCTCATCACAGGTTCCAGATAGATCCAGTTAAGTCACAGGTCAGATCATACTAGCCCTCTGCCCAGAAACCATCAAGGGCTCCTCATCTCCCTCAGAGTAAAAGCCAAATCCTCCTTACAATGGTCTATAAACCCTATACAATCAGCTCCTATTACCTCCTTGACCTTAAGTTCTACAAATTTCTCCCCACCCCTACTTGCTCAGCTCAATCATTCTAGCCTCCCTGTTGTCACATCAGACACAGTCATACCCCAGGGCCTTTGCACACACTATTCTCTGCGCCTGGAAAGCTCTTCCCCTGAATATCTCATGGCTTGTCATCTCATCTTTTCAAGTCTTTGCCCACATGTCATCTTAAAGAGCCCTGCCCTGTCCATGCTACTGAGAATGGCAGCTGCATCCATCCCCCTCACCTGTGCTGTTTTTCCCATTGAACTCATCACCTCCCATATATTAGCTTCTTTACACATAAGGCTTACTGTTTGCCTCCTCATTCTGTAACGTAAGTTTCACAAGGGCAGGGATTTTTATCTTTTCTATTCACTGATAAATCCTCAACACGAACAGTATTTCACATGAGGCAGGTGCTCAACGAATACTGAATGAATTAATCAGTAGAGCTGAGATTCAATCCCGGCTGAGTTCTTAACAACTGTCGATATGGTGCCTTCTACCCGAGGAAAGTCCCCCTGATGCAATCAGACTAAAAATGAATATCGCGTAGCTGATACCCTGCATAACGCCATCACCCAGCCAGTCTGTCATTGCTTAGATAACGTCACAGTTGAATGATTTCTTGCTCAGTACTGTCTGGTTCCTATTAGAAAAGTACTAGGTAGGGAATGTTAACAGGCAAACATTTGTTTGCTTCATGGTCCCACAAGCAGAGTCAGAGGCTGGGTTGGGGGATAATGTGGAGAGAAAGCAAGAGGCAAGCCAGGGACAAGTCACCAGGACAGGCCAGCTGGCCAGAGGCCCCGAGAAAGCCCCACTGGCTCCACCTCAGAATCGCTCATCGTTCAACGAGGGTCTGCAGTCCTCACACACAACTCAAGGTGGCGCCCTTGCTCTACTTCCCTGCTTCCCTGCTGCAGGCCACGCCTCACAGGCTTTTTTTGCTCAGACTGCAAGACAATCCAATGACTCAGCAATGCGAGGAGAGGAAGCCTAAAATTTGGACAAAGGATACTGGCCCCACGCCCCATGTACACAAGCTTGCCATCACCACCAGCACAGAAAATTACTTTTTGAATGTACCCTTTCCTGGGAACCCCATCTCTCTGGTGGGATTGAACGTGCTCTAAACAAATAAGCACCTGGGCAGATTAAAACCGCGAGTGCATAGGAAAAGCCCTAGGGTAAGAGAAAAGGAGGCTACCATATTGGTTGACGGCTGGCTGGCCATTTTGTCTTGTTTCTGTCTGCAGCAGGAGAGAGGCTCGTTGTTCTGGGCTTTCTTTCAAGCCTCCAAGGTTGTCTTTGGGAGATGTTAAGCCACTATAGCCCTGGGGCGCAGCCTGCCTGCCTGCCTGCACGTTTGTGCACACAGGGCGTGACTCACCCCGAGCCCGGGATGGCAGCCGCCCGCAGTGCGGGTGGAACAGGCCGTGTGTGCCTGCTGGGCAAAGCCCTCCGTTAATCCCTCTGGTGGTCACCACCACACCCTGTCATTAAGCCATGTACTTGACCGCAGAGCTCAAATCAGCTTAACGGTCTGGGCTTGTTTAATCCTTGTCGTCTTTGGTTAAGTCTGTGATGCCTTTACTTTTCAAATTTCTGCTTTGTCTATGGGAAACAGAACCAGACGGGTCGAGTGACCCTGCACAGGTCACCCAGTGCAGAATCAGAATTAGAATCACAGATACCTGACTTTTCACCAGTGGTGCTGACTTGTCTAAATCCCTGCCACGAAAGCCCTCCTTCTCCCCACCCTGCTTCCCGCCCTCACCCCCTCAATAATCCTTTCCTTGTAGATATGCCATTTGCCTGGTTCTTTTTTAAAGTCTACACACTCACACAAGTACGCAAATCCATGTCTGTTGCTGTGTTTTGAAGCAATGTGCCAACCATGTTTTGTTTCCGGTGTAACCCAGAAGTTCGTAGAAGCATCACCTACCTTTTACGTTGGAACTTGACTTCTGAAGTGTACCCACAGCCTCCCTCTTAGAGATACACAATCCAGGCTGGCAGATGAGAAGCCCCCAGAAATCCTGTAGAAAATAAATGGTTTAGCTCATTTAACCTCATATTTTTCAAACTTAAACACGGATGACCTTTTCCCGCAGTGCCTCTCTGTTAACATCATTGCCATAATAGTTCTTGAGATGCCCTTTGGGAAAGGGTGAATGAAACCACGATCCCTTCGTAGCCTAGGGTTGGGCGGGTGGGCATCGCTCCATGTCCACCACGCTATGCTGAGGAACCCCAGATCTCAGAATTAGTCTTCTTAAAGTTTGTTAGATTTTTGTGGTCTCCTACGACATCCTGTTCGTTGACAAAAGCCGAGTCCCGTGGAAGTTTTCCAAGCCTGAGATTGTGCAGCAGAGAGTAGATGAAATGCCACTCTCTCCTGCTTCTGATGGGCTCCGTCCCAGCCCTTCCAAAGCACACGGCATCTCCACCCAAGGCCGCCCTGAGCCCCCTCCAGTGGTTCCACCATTGGCATCAGTGGGAACCTCCATTCCCAGCCCTTCGGGAGTGCCCTCCGGCCACCTTCAGTCCCTCGGAAGACAACTTGATTACCAGAATATTCCTAAAAAAACCCGCTCAGTCCTTCATGTCTCTCCAAACCAAAGCCGTAACCCTGAGGCAGTAATTCTTTCTCCTGCAAAGATTAAAAAGCCCCGACTTTCTCCTAGGAATATATTTTTCATCCCTTTCATTTGTCCAGAAGAGCAGGCGGCTTTGCACCATAGCTAAAGTTCCTACACCACCCCAGTAGTCTTTCATAGTCATCGGAGCTAAGAAACAGCGCATATTTAGTTTGAAGTCTTTTGTGGGGACAAAGACCTTACAGCAGTGGCCCAGCGTGGCAGCAATTTTTACTGTTGACTGTAACTGCATGTGTTAGTTTCCAAATTCTGCAGAAGTTTCCCGGGTCATCTCAGAAAAATATACTGACTTAGAAGGAATAAAACTCCTGGGCTAGGGTGATGGCCCCATGCTGGGCGATTCTCTCTGGCTGCTTCGTGGGCTTCGGGACCAACAACAAGACTTGTCTTCACTTTGTGGCTCTGTGCTTATAGCATCACCCAAAATCATACCAGACACCATGCCAGGTGCTTGTGACCAATGAAGCTTAATCATTTATGACAGATAGAAAGGACGATGCTTCTAACTTCAACTATCTTGCCAGGAAGGAAGGAAGGAAGGGTGGGTGGAGTGGGGAGGGAGGGAGGGGAGGGAGGAAAAGGGGTTAGTAGTTTTAAG